GCGGCATCTCTGGCCAGAGACACGGAGTTCGACTGGAGCTGGCTGGATCCCAGCTGGTAGAAGCTGACGGGCCTGTCCTCCCGCCGGTTGGGGCTGGGCTGCAGAGAGAGGGAGGCCAGGGCAGTGTGTGAGGAGGGGACACTTCTCTCGTGCGGTGATGACAGTCTCGCATCCACCACGTCTGCTCACTTGGTACCCTGCGGCTCTCAGCTGCTGCTTGAGAGCTGTGACATTTAACATGTACCCCCTCCTGGAGTCTCGTAACTGAAACACACCCGCCCCCTCCCGAAAGCCACAACTCGAGAGTGACAATTCTCCATCCATGAGGGAGTCAGCTACTAGCTCCTCTCACTAGCCAAGCTCATCTCGGCCCGGCTCTCATCTGCCTTGGTCCCCTTCTCGAACACGCTCTCCGGGTCACAGGACAGCAGGGCTGGTCCCGGCCACGCCTGCGGCCCATCTCCAACAGGCCTGTGGCTAACGTCGTGGGGACCGGTGTTTTCCCAACACGTGGGAACTCCCGAGAGTCCTCCGAGGCAGGGTTGGAACCTGTGTGTGTTGGTGAAGTTTTACTGGAGCACGGCCGCCCGTCAGCACCAGGCGTGACGCCTCAGTCCCTTCGTGAGTTTGCCCACCTCCCTCCTGCCTAAAGGCCACTGCTCCCAAGGACACGAACGCCCAGAACGAGCCCAGGGTTCTCTCCACTCACATTGCAGATGCCAGCTCTACTGCATGGGTACGGTCCCAGGAGATGACCCCACCCTCTGCTGTCTTCCCCCCTCTGAAGTGTGCGCAACCCTAACTGCTTCCCCAGCATGGGCCCGTGTGCTTGGCGCACACTCAGTACCCGCCGGGCACGCCTCTTCCTCGTCCCAGGACCACCAACCCGCTCCAAGTTCGACGAAACCAACGGCTCAAACCCTTTCGGGTGTGCAGAGCTCGGCGCCAGAGGCTCTCCACAGGAGCTTCTAGATTCCAACAAGGCCCACAGCCCAAGGGCAGGGCAGACCCACCACACTGGGCCGAGACTGAGCACGAGGGTGGGTGAGTCAGGACTCCACACCGACGAGTCTTGTTCGTGGTTTCAGACTGACCTCCCTGCTCTGCCACTTGCTCTGAACATGGGGCCAGGACGTCTGTGACTAGGAAAGGCACTCAGGCTGGGCTGTCTCCAACTGCGTCTACGTGTGGCGTCGGTCAGCTCTGCCCGTCTACGTGGGACGTCGGTCGGCTCTGCCCGTCTACGTGGGACGTCGGTCGGCTCTGCCCGTCTACGTGGGACGTCGGTCGGCTCTGCCCGTCTACGTGGGACGTCGGTCGGCTCTGCCCGTCTACGTGGGACGTCGGTCGGCTCTGCCCGTCTACGTGGGACGTCGGTCGGCTCTGCCCGTCTACGTGGGACGTCGGTCGGCTCTGCCCGTCTACGTGGGACGTCGGTCGGCTCTGCCCGTCTACGTGGGACGTCGGTCGGCTCTGCCCGTCTACGTGGGACGTCGGTCGGCTCTGCCCGTCTACGTGGGACGTCGGTCGGCTCTGCCCGTCTACGTGGGACGTCGGTCGGCTCTGCCCGTCTACGTGGGACGTCGGTCGGCTCTGCCCGTCTACGTGGGACGTCGGTCGGCTCTGCCCGTCTACGTGGGACGTCGGTCGGCTCTGCCCGTCTACGTGGGACGTCGGTCGGCTCTGCCCGTCTACGTGGGACGTCGGTCGGCTCTGCCCGTCTACGTGGGACGTCGGTCGGCTCTGCCCGTCTACGTGGGACGTCGGTCGGCTCTGCCCGTCTACGTGGGACGTCGGTCGGCTCTGCCCGTCTACGTGGGACGTCGGTCGGCTCTGCCCGTCTACGTGGGACGTCGGTCGGCTCTGCCCGTCTACGTGGGACGTCGGTCGGCTCTGCCCGTCTACGTGGGACGTCGGTCGGCTCTGCCCGTCTACGTGGGACGTCGGTCGGCTCTGCCCGTCTACGTGGGACGTCGGTCGGCTCTGCCCGTCTACGTGGGACGTCGGTCGGCTCTGCCCGTCTACGTGGGACGTCGGTCGGCTCTGCCCGTCTACGTGGGACGTCGGTCGGCTCTGCCCGTCTACGTGGGACGTCGGTCGGCTCTGCCCGTCTACGTGGGACGTCGGTCGGCTCTGCCCGTCTACGTGGGACGTCGGTCGGCTCTGCCCGTCTACGTGGGACGTCGGTCGGCTCTGCCCGTCTACGTGGGACGTCGGTCGGCTCTGCCCGTCTACGTGGGACGTCGGTCGGCTCTGCCCGTCTACGTGGGACGTCGGTCGGCTCTGCCCGTCTACGTGGGACGTCGGTCGGCTCTGCCCGTCTACGTGGGACGTCGGTCGGCTCTGCCCGTCTACGTGGGACGTCGGTCGGCTCTGCCCGTCTACGTGGGACGTCGGTCGGCTCTGCCCGTCTACGTGGGACGTCGGTCGGCTCTGCCCGTCTACGTGGGACGTCGGTCGGCTCTGCCCGTCTACGTGGGACGTCGGTCGGCTCTGCCCGTCTACGTGGGACGTCGGTCGGCTCTGCCCGTCTACGTGGGACGTCGGTCGGCTCTGCCCGTCTACGTGGGACGTCGGTCGGCTCTGCCCGTCTACGTGGGACGTCGGTCGGCTCTGCCCGTCTACGTGGGACGTCGGTCGGCTCTGCCCGTCTACGTGGGACGTCGGTCGGCTCTGCCCGTCTACGTGGGACGTCGGTCGGCTCTGCCCGTCTACGTGTGACATTGGTCAGCTCTGCCCGTTTTGACCCTGTTTCATAGCGAACTCAGGAGCAAACTCCCTGTTCGGTACCCGAGGAAGCACAAAGCCTGAATGTGGACCACGCCGTGAGCAGGGCCAGCCCAGCAGTTTCGGAAATGCCGTCTGGTTAGATACCCTGGACACATGCCAAGCACTGCAGTCTGGAGTACAGGCTAAAAACACGGGATGCAGTTTCCTTCTCCTTGGGGAGCACTTGCAGCCACTGCGGCGCACAGTGGCACGGAGCTGGGACGGCTGCAGCTGTGAGCGTGGGCCTGTGGTCAGACACCTGAGCCCACGCTCCGCTCCAAGGGCAGTGTGAGGGTGCAACCCTCCCAGGGTCACCACGTGCACGACAGGGAGAGTGGAGAAGGGCACAGACGAAGGGGCAGACTCTGTGGAGTGGCTTCACTTTGGCTAAGTCAGCCTCTCTAGAAGTTTCCATGTCCCCATCCAGTAGGGGGAGAACTAGACCCCTGAGCTCTAAGGGTCATTTAGCAATTTTAAAAAAATAATTATTTTATTCATCATAATTTTTTTTGGAGGACAGGTTTTTGCTATAGGGTATGTGCACTCACCAGAGAGAGAGAGAAAGAAAGCGAGAAATCACCCCCCAGGGAGGATGGCCATGCCACAATCCCTTCTCCTCTCAGGATCCTGGGCACGCACGCACACACACCTGGCGTGAGTTTAAGCCACTAGGTCCAGGACTCAAACTGTGGTGGGTTACATGGGAGTCCAGCAAAATAGCCATTATGCCAATTGCTGGTCCCACTTTAATTATTTTCCATTTGACCGGGGATGGGGGGAGGGAGAATGAGAAAGCAAGCTGCCAGATCCGGGACTCGAAATGGAGTCAACCATGTGGGAGTCCAGCGCCTTAACCACCATGCCACCTGCTGGTCCCTCATTCAGCAATTTTAATCAAGGTCTTTAGGCTCAACAAGGTGAGTGTGATCATCTATGGCGGGGGAACCTGCTCTTTATGCCACGACTGCACCATGAGTGAGCTTCCTGGAAAACCCACTGGCACCCAAGACCACCCACTCTTCCCCCAGCAGCAAAGGTGAGAGGCTGCCTAGCGCGACACGGTGAGCTGCTACTTCCAACTCGTGGTGCTGGGACGGGAGCCAAAGGCTCCGTACATCAGCAACAGCAGAAAGGAAGCCCTGTCCGCTCCCCTACGAAGCACCTTCCGTCTTAATTACAGGCGGGGACCCCCTCTCCGGGATCGAGGCTCCTGGAAACCCTGTGTGGCGCCCAGGCAGACCTGCAGCTTCTCGTCCATGTCGTCATCGCTCTCATCCAGGTCCTCGTGGAGCAGTCGCCACTCGTATTCGACGTGGACGTGGGAGTTAAACCTTCCGGACAAGGCTTGGGTCAGCTGAGGAGAACAGGGCTGGTTAGGACTGTGGAATATGCACGCGGCCCCGGGAAGGGGGACCCTCTGGGGGCAGACAGACGGCAGGTGAGCAGCACAGGGAGGGGCTCGGCCCGGCATAGGCAGCCACACCCTGGTCCAAGACGAGCTCCCTCCAGTCTCTGGGGCATGGGCTGAGCCCCTCTGCCAATTAGCAGAATAACCCGGGAGCTCTTTATCAATCTCCATGAACCGTGAGGCTGAGCCATTTACGCACGGGCTGGGATACCGCGTCTGCCTGCCGCTTATCGACACAGCTCTCCTCAGAACGAATGCGTTCTCTGGAGATTAACCCGGCCTTTCCCCACTAGTACCAGAGAGGTCAGCCTAGCCGGGTATCATCTGACTGTTTGTTCAATTTTCTTTCCTTTTTTTTTTAGAGGTTTTCGCTATAGGGCACGTGCGCTCGCCAGACAGACAGAGAGAGAGAGAGAGACAGAAAGCGAGAAATCACCCCGCATGGGGAATAGTCATGCCGCAATCCCTTCTCCTCCGTTCTCCTCTCAGGATCTTGGGCACGCACACGCACGCACCCGGCGTGAGTTTTAAGCCACCGGGTCCGGGACGCGAACTGCGGTTGACTACGTGGGAGTCCAGCGATATAGCCATTACACTAACTGCTGGTTCCCTATTTGTTCAATTTTCTTAAGGAAAGTAGAAGCTAGGTCTATTCCAGATGCAGAGAGTGAAAACTTAAATCAGCACACACAATGGGTGTCAGAGGGCCAAAGGCTTAACTTTTCCCTTAGCCAGACAGCCGCTGTGTGACCCGGGGCAAATTACTTAACCTCTCTGTGCCTTTCTCACCTGTAACGTGGGGCGACAGTAAAGTCATGTCGTTCAGTAGCTAGAAAGATTGGCGAGCTACCGGCTATAAGGTAGCTCCGCTGGAACTATTGCTGACCCTACCCCCGTGCCATTTGTTAGCAGTCACACCTGCTGCGCATTTACTGTGCCGAAGGCTCAAAGCCACCTTGCACACTGACTGCAAGCTCGGAAACCTCAGAGCGTCTGAGTGGCTTCCTGGGCCCCAGTGGTGGGGCCCATCGCAAAGCTAGGCCTGCCTCAGGGCCCTCTCCACTGTCCACACAGCCTCTTCTCCGGAACAGGAGGGAACAGATGGTGCAGAGGGCCGAGGGCTGCAGAGAACAGGCAGCTGTGGATGGCCCGGGCCTCAGCCCAGCCACCCAGGTACCAGTGCTGAAGTCCCCGGGCCACCAGCCGAGACTGACACGGGTCCCAGCCTCAGTGCAAGGGCAGCGCTGCCTCCTCTTCAGACCCCCCGGAACACTCTCTGTAAGCTGACCGGTTCCTAGCCTGCCCATCTGGGCCCCAGTCCTGGGGTGACGCGGTGACGGCTCAGAGCAAACCCTAACGCAGGCGGCCCTCGCGGCCCAGGAGGGGGCGCTCACCAGCTCCTCGCAGTGCTCATGCTTGAGGCGCCTGGCGATGTCCAGCGGGGTCTCTCCGGACTCATTGGCTGGAAGTAAGGGCAAGGGAGGAGGCGTCTCAGGGCAAACCCAGCAGAGGCCCGGAGACGGCGAGGGGCCGCTGTTGATTACTCTGCTTATTTTTGTGGAGTGCGTGTGTGCTCACTCACTGGGAAGAGAGCCGGAAATTAAGAATGCACCTTGCCCCTGGGGGCGGCCATGCCCCGATCCTCCCCCCCATCGCCTCTCGGGATCTCGGGTATGCACATGCACCAGCACGTTTTTCAAGCTGCCAGGTCCAGGCCTGGAACCTTGCAGTTGACCATGTGGGACCCAGCCGCCTTAACCACCACACCGCCAGGTGGCCTAAGAGGCAATTTGTAAAGATACACTACTGCGGCCTTAAATTAGACCACACGATGAACGAGCTCCACCGCGGAGTCTGACCCAGCTGGGGCCGGGGCTGTCTTATAAGGCTCAGAACTGCAGCCGGCTGTAGAAGGGATGATCACGAAAAACAGGCTTTGGGCTAATCTAGAAAAGAAAGCCGGCCCGGCCTCGGTGGGACTCGGAGGGGGCCGGCCGTGGGCCACGTAGGGGGCCGGGGCTCAGTTCTCAGCTCAGCTGGACAGGCTGAGTGCAGAGCCCTGAGTATGGTCCTGGCTGACAGGGAGGTCGGGGCCGAGCACAGCGTGGGGAACCCCTGCGCAGCCACGGTGGTGCAGGAAGCAGGGGTGCTGCTGTGCTCCACTAGAGCCATCCAGGAGGCCCTGGGCTCAGACCCTGGGCCAGCCCTCACACAGTAGGCAGTCCTGTCATCCCTGCTGGCTGGAAGAGTGGGGGTGGCAGCAGGGCATGGCCCTGACAAAGGTTCCTGTCTTTCTCTTCCATAAAAAAGAAGCTTAAAGAAAAAAGTATCACCCATTCCCCTCCTCTCCTGGCTCTTTCATAAAGAAGAAAACCACTGACACGACCAACCAATGGAAATCACTATCCAAACCCTCTGTCCCTGAATGGAGCTCGCCGTAACCCTGCAGCCCAGTCCCACGCGTATGAACGTGTGAACGTGTGAGTATGTGCGCCCGCACCTCCCTGCAAGCCGTCCAAGTGTGACACTTTGTCTCTCCATCCCACCAGGCCTCAGAGAGGCTGCATTAGCACTCAGGTGCCTTCTTCCTACTCCTCCCGTTATTCGGCAGTCCACGGCTGGACACCCTCGAGGCACAGCTGTGCCGGGGCTGCCCGTGTGCTGGGGTCCATGGCAAATGGAGAGCCCGAGGTTGAGTGAGAACCAGAGTCCCCCATGGGAGAGCCCAAGAACACGTGAGGCTGATCTGAGGTCAGCTGGGGGAGGGCGCTCCGAGCTCGTGAACAGGTCACGGGCCCACCGCGTCCACCTCACTGCACAGCAGGGACGCTGCAAGGCCAGCTTTGTGTTCCTGGGTTCTGCAAATGTACCCACAGTATAAGTGACGGGCGGTGAGCGTGGCTGTCAATGCCAGGTGCACGGCCTCTGGGGCGCGGTGACGCTCTTTCTCCCCAGCTCTAAGGGGGCCCCACGGGTGGGCCGTTTCCCATGGTGGGAGGTGCAGGGGCCGAGGGAAGAGGAGGCGGAGGCCAGGCCACGCCGCTCACCGATCTCGATGGAGGCCTTCCCGCGCAGCAGCAGCTTGAGGCACTCGGCGTTGTCGGTCAGGCAGCAGTAGTGCAGGGCCGTGCTGCCCTTCCCCGTCTGCTTGTCCAGGTTCCCGCTGGCCGAGGGCAGGGGCGGAGAAGACAGAGTTACGGCCCATAGGACTGGCAGGGGCCGCCCAGCAGGGACCTGGGGCATGTGCATGGGAGCAGCAGCAGGAGTCAGCGTCCACGGTGCAGCTTTCTCGGTCACCAAAGCAGGGAGACTGCACATCCCGCCCATGACGGAGGTTAGTGATGGCTGATGGCAGGGGAAGCTGGAAGGGCTGCTGGCACCGGGGCTGTGCTGGGCAGCGGCCGAGGCGAGACCCAGCAGGACACGATGGTGGTCACACCTGTGCTCGGGCGGGGACCTCAGCAGCCGAGCTACTCGTGTTGCTCTGAGTCACAGGCACTGGGGTTGGAGGGTCTCGCCTCGCACACGCCAGGCTTTTCAGGGACTGCCATGAGCACCCACAGCAGGCAGCACCTCGTCTGGCCCAGAGTCTCGGGTAGGCCTGAGAAGCTTCTCTTGGCCACAGACAGAAGCGACGAGGCTTTCCTTTCTCGGAAGTGCCCAGGAGCGGAAAACGAGCGCCCGCCGGGGAGGCCTACCTGTTCTGAACCAGGAAGTCCACGATGTGAAGAGAGGTGCGGTCCACAGACCGCACGGCCAGGTGGAGGGCCGTCTCGTCCGGCTCCTGAGGAACACAGACACAACAGACTCACGGAGCACTCGCCTTCGCCCCGCACGACTGAGGTCAGGGGCTCTCCGCCAAGAGCCAGCACCTTCCCTTCAGAAAACGACGTAACGCTACCTTACCCTGCAGGGCAGCTCCACCCCGGGGATGGGCAGCTTAGATGGCCCTGCTGCTCCTTACTCGGGGGTAAAAACGAGGAAGCAGGAGTCTCACTTCAAGTCCTCCATTTCTTCCTTAATTTGCCAGAAGGCACATGTGCTCACCAGAGGGAGGCAGAGAGAAGGAGAGCAAGAAAGCATTCCCTAAGGGGCAGTCACCCCGCAATCCTCCACTTCTCCCTCCTTTTGGGATTTTGGGCACACACAAACGTGCCCTGTGTACTTTTCTTTTTTTCGGAGAGATTTTTGCTATAGGGCCCGTGTGCTGGCTAGAGAGACAGAGAGACAAACAGTGAGATACCACCCTCCCCAGGGGGAATGGCTCTGCTGCAGTCCCTTCTCCTCCATTCTCCTCTTGGGGTTTTGGCCACCCATGCACACATGCCTGACATGAGTTTTAAGCTGCCAGGTCCAGGACTGGACTTGAACCATGGTTGACTACATGAGAGTCCAGTGACATAACCATTACGCCGTCTGCTGGTTCTGCCCTGTGTGTTTTTTCAAGCCACCAAGTCTGGGACTCAAACTGCACAGTCAGCCATGCAAAATCTGGCTCCTGGGTTAGCAGACCATAGGTTGGCCTTGAAATGCTCTTGGCCGCTGTCCCCCACCTCTGCATCGACACCACCAGGTGCAGGTTGACCACAGCCAAGGGTCTCATTCAGAGAACCCTGGATGGTCACCAGGTCACCTCTGCTCCAACCCCGTTCCCCTACTCCCGAGTACACAGAACCCCTGTGCCGTCCTGTTCATACCCCAGGGTACGTGACTTCCAGTGCTTTTTTTTTTTTTTTAATGTAGCTCTATGCATTTTGCTTTCTCTTATTTTTTTCATCATTGTCTTTTCTGTATTAGGGCACTGGGAAAATCAGGATGAATTTTTCTGTTTTTCTATGCAAAAATGTGTCACGACTTTCCCAACGACCCAACACATCTGGCAGGTGGAGCTGAGAAGGGAGGATGTGAGGTGGGCGGTGGGTGAGAGAGCTGGAGAGCAAGAAGCACCGCAGAGCAGGAGGCGAGGCCGAGGGGGCACCTCCTGCCCTGCTGGCCCTGCCTGCTTGGTCCCTGGTACTGAGCACCCTGCGCCTGGACTGGCTGGCTCAAGCTGTGTGGAGAGGGAGGACAGACTGCCACAGCCTGGGTGCACTGTCCACTTTGTCACCATGAGAAACGTGCTGCTGCTACCGTGTTCCTGTTGGGAGCCCTGGCGCTGGCCGGTGAGGACGCCAAGGCCTGGATGCCTACGGGGTTCTGATTCTGAGCAGGATGGCTCCACAGACGGGAGCAAGTTCTGCCGATGAGCGAGTCCAGCACTGAGGTCCGAAGGTCTGGGAGACCCGAGGATCCGGGCAGTTGTGGAAAAGAACCAGGAGACACGCTCCTCCTTGGTCCTGTAGTTACCTCTCCCACTCCTGACAATCACACCCACCATCTCGAGAGAGTTCCCCCTGAGACTGGGGACATCCCTCCTCCACCACACCCCGAAGAGGAGGGTGCCTTGGGGTGCTGCTGCTGCAGGGAGCTGAGGCCTGGCTTGGCTGCTCTGGGGCTCCAGTAAAAGTGAGAAGCTCACACTAGGCCTGCTCACGGGAGACTGGCCTCCTGCAGGCTGCTCGGGCTGCAGACATGACCTCCCCTTCGTCCCAGGGATGGACTTCCCTTCCAGAGCTGGCATCACATTTTTGGTTTAAGAATCAACTGAAAGGGCCAGGTCTGTGGTGCGGCTGTCACACACTAATCCAGAGAAGCTGGACCTGTGTGGCAACTGTGGTTCGAATCCCCAGCCTGGGTGGCCTGGAACACTCTGGGCATGCTGGTAAGCACCTGTGATCTGGTGGGCTGTGGGGCTGGAGAGGGACCGAGGGTGATCAGACCGTGTGGAGGTGCTCCCCACCCCTCGAATGCATGTGCACACACTTTATCGTGAATAAAGAAAAAAATAAACCAAACTGTGAAGTTAGGAGGACGAGGCCCTGGAGACACACGACACAGCGCAGTGACCGTAGCTAATAACAACGTATCGTCTTTTCCAAACTGCTCAGAAAAGATTTTAGGGCCGGCCCTGAAACTTGGTTGTTAAGGGAGCTGGATTCCACATGGGTGACCGTGCTCTGCAGCCTGACCCTCCTGGCTTGAAAATCACACCTTGCGCAAGTGCAAGCACACCCAAATGCCAACTGGATGGAGAGATGGGGACGGGAGTGCAATGGGGCCGCTCTCCATGGGGGGGCGCTTTTCCCTCTCCTCTCTTGTCTCTGGTGAGAGGACATATCCTCTGGCAATTAAAAAAATGGATTTTAAATGTTCTACGTAAGAAAGTATCTGAAGTCATGGGTGTGTTCATCAGCTGGATTTAACCCCTATGATGCCATATCTATCAAAACATCATGCTGTACCCCGTTAGTATCCTTATAATTACTTGTCAATTAAAATTTTTTAAAAAGGAATAAACTAATTTCTTCCTACAAAACTCAGGCCTGTCCCTTTCAAAGAAGTGCATGAAGCATTCCTGGCCATACCGCCCGGCCGGTTCCCCCCTTCTCTCCTGCTCTCTCAGGAACGAGCAGCCCACACTCTTACATGTCCGTTGGCCAGCGGGATTTTCTCTGTGAGGTCCACGCCATCGGCGTAGGCCTGCAGTAACCCGAAGATGTCCCTGGTCTTGACGGCCTCGCAGAGGCTGTGCAGCTTGGCCGCGCCATCCGCGTGCCTCCTCCGCGCGTACCTCCTCTCGATGTACTTGGCTGTGATGTAGTCCTTCCTCGCATTCCTGGAAGCAAACACACCGCCTAGCACCCCTCCGAGGCCTCGAGCCCAGCGCCCGCGCCCACACCTGAGCCCCGCTC